TTCAGAAATACCTCACAGAGGAAGAGTAACTGGTGTATCACCAATGACGTAGACGAACAAATATATGGCTCGGTTGAAAGTCTAGCGTTATATCACTACAAATGCAAGGGTTATATCAAGGGCACGCATTGCGAGGGTGCTTTTCCAATCACCCTATTCACTATATTGTTCTGGGATGAGATTTATGATATGAATATTCCCGGTGCTTGGGTATCATTATATCAGGATGCGCCGCTGGATTTATATTCCTCGGAATTTTACGAGAATAGAAAGAAACAGATCGACATGAAGCTTCAAATTGTTCGAAAATTTGATGAGGAAACATTGAGTAGACATTTGAAGCGTGAATTCGATTTGCACTGCGAATATAAATCTATCTTTCAAGGCAATATTTTTGATAACAGTAACAGCTTTCAGGCAAGTAATCAATGAAGTTTATGTTGAAAGATAATTTTTATAATTGTAAATTTGTTTTCAGGAAGTGACGTATTGTTTAGGAGTAGAAGGTGTTGTTGGAATTTGTGAACGACTTATCCATAATTTTCCACTTTGGACAGCTGGTTTTCCAGATTTAATTGTATGGAACGTACATACAAAACAGGTAAATCAGTTTGTTTTCTATAATTTTAAGAGCTTATATAAAACTTAAGAATATATTTTATATTTTTACCAAACATAAATTATATCAAATTATAACCTAATATAATTTCTTTCTTTTTTTTAGTACAAGATTGTGGAGGTAAAGGGTCCGGGTGATTCTCTGTCAACCAAACAAAAATTATGGTTAGATTATTTGAATCGACTTGGTCTAAATACAGAAGTGTGCTATTGCGAGGTGATAATTTTTATGCTATGAAAAAGCTCGATTATTATTTTATTATTACTTCAATCACTTTTAACCTTTTAAGGCGCCAATGCTTCTGTCACAGTAATAGTAGAAGGGCCTTGAAAATGATATCTGTAAAATAATTCATTTTTTTTAAATTATCGATTTATTATCATTTATATATAAATAATATATGCAGATCAAATACATCTTTTTTGTTACAGTCAAACGCAAGTCATTCTAAAGGACGAAAGCGAAAGCATGAGGAACTGTGATAACACGTTTACCATAATTCAAAAATTACACTACATGCGCGTGTAGAAAAGGAAAACGAGCATTATATTTTATATTGTGATATTTGTATTTATATATCTGTATCTACAGATTTTTTTATCTTCCTAATTATAATATACAAACTTAAACTTATATTTCAACGAATACTTCTATAATGATCAAAGGATTTTAATTGATGAGGAATGATACACTTACTGTACTTGTTTTGTAGCTGGCGTTTCCTCTATGTTGAATTCTGCGACTGGTACATTACGTTGCGCTACTTGCGGTGCAAACATCGCGGCTGGATATACAATCGCCGAAGTTCCAATTACTAAGCAAGCGTCGCATGTTTCCACAATGTCAACTACAAAAAAAATTAACGATCAAGATAAATATTTTTTAGTTTTCTTTCTTCGTTGTATATATTTTACGTAACACTAAATTGCATTTATAATCAAGAAAGTCGCGCATTTGATTTTTTAAATTATATTTTTATATTTTAAAAAATAAAAGATTATAAGCAATCAATTAAATATTAGTAGAAGATATCTATAATTAGTTCAATCATGAGTTAATCAATAAAAAAAAAAAAAAAAAAAAAAAAAAAAAAAAAGAAAAAGAAGAAGAAGAAGAAG